TTAAGGGGGTCTGAATACTTTCCGTACCCACTGTATATATACATTCACACACACACACACGTCATTACTGCAAAATACTAAATAAAAAACTCGAAATGTTTTATTGAAAAACAGAATCACAGTCAGAGAGATCCAGCTGATTTATATATATATGTGTGTGTGTGTGTGTGTGTAGAGTACAGGGTGTGGGTTCTGGAGCCGCGGCTGGTCCAGCAGTACACAGCCAGTGTTTCTATACTCAATCTGAACTTCTCTGTCAGTCTGTCAAGCCACGAGAGCTCAGAGTTCAGAGCGGCGGCTGCGTCTGTGCAGAACATGGTGAGTCTGAACATCACAGTCCTTCCTCTGATCAAACCAGCACAACACAGCTGGAAAACCAGCACGGTTTAGTCAGGTCAAGCTGGCACACCACCGATACAGTTAACTATAACTAGCTGTTTTACACTAGAACATGTCATAATAGGCAAATCTAACAACCCTGGTCTGGAGGATCTTATAGAGAGGAATCCTGAGAACTGCTGCTGGTGAGTTTGAATGCACAGATGCACACAGAACGTGGTTTGTTTTCTCTCTGACAGGTGGAGAAGCTGCTGAAGTGCACAGACCTGTCCAGATACTTCAACTCCAGCGCAGTGTTTGCGTTCGGGTGAGGAGCGCTGCTCTCCATCCCTCTGTGTTTCATGAGCGGAGGTCTGCAGCATCTTCATCTGTTCCTCTGGTGTTCCTGTAGGAACGGCAGTGTGGTGGCTCATCTCTGGCTGCGTCTGTCGGTTCCTAGCAGTCGTGTGGAGACGGTGAGCATCCAGCGACTGAACGAGAGCGTGTTCAGAGAACTGCAGCGCTTCAGCGACGCTCAGCAGATCAGCAGATACGAGGGTTTCCATCTGCTGCTGCCCTCGCTCAGCTTCACCGGTAACATCACCTTCACTGTCAGACACATGTGTGATGACGTCTGCTGTGTTTTTGTTCACTTGTTTTTACTGCTTTGTGTTGATTTATGTTTTTCTACTTTCCAGAAACCCACCCCAAAGTTATAGATCGTTTTCAAGCTACGTTTGGTATGATTTTGATTTTGTTTTTCTAATTTTGCGGTGTGATTTTTAAAACAATAATTTGAGGGTGATCATATTTTCAGCACATTTTCATTTTTGGATGAACTATTGCTTTAACAAATATAGGAGTTAGTTAACCATAACTAGTCGTGCCGTGCTTTAGCAGTGGTAATATTTTGACTGTCCACCCGAACATCTGGAGACTCGTCAGTCCCGAGTGTTATTTCTCCTGAAAGCCTCTGTCTCCTCACAGACTGCTATCGCTACACGTCTCTGGTCTCGGCGGAGCCGGTGGTTCTGGAGGGGCCGAACATGCAGCGCTCGTCGTGTCTGTGGCACTTGAGGGCCCCTGCGGGCTCCCGGCTGGAGCTCAGGGTCGAGTGGCTCCTGAGCGAGTGTCGCGACCGTCTGATCATCTACGACTCGGTCACGCCGACAGACTCTCGTCTCCTCACCTCGTGAGACTCGTACTCATCTCTGGTTCACATCATGCGTGTCAAACGCACAGATTCTGATCGAGTGTCTCGTCTCTCTCAGGCTTTACGGCTGCAGTCGGTACGAGCAGACGGTGCAGCTGCTGTCGTCTGCTGACTGGATGACGGTGGTTTGGAAACAGGGTCTGTACAGTTACAAGGATCCGTTTTCACTGAGCGCGCGAGCCTGGCCGGACCAGGGTAATGCATGACTAATTAATGAAATATTTCTGTATTTTTATTATTTTTCAGTTTTTTATTTATATTTTAATAATTTTATTTATTTGTATTTTTTGTTCATATTTTCAATATATCTGTATTTTGAATTATGCATTGCATTTTGTTGTGTTTTAGGGTTAAAGGAAATGTCTGTACACCTGTCCAATTTTCATTACTCTACAGATTTTTTTCTTACAATGTGGAAGTGATGCAGATTGAATAGAGATTTCTTTACTTCACTGTAATTCTTTTGTCTGGAGTGTTGTTAAGCTGAGGTTTTGTGTTTGTGTTACAGATTGCTCCTACAGTGTTGTGTTAGAGAAGACAGACGGTGTCCAGGGCATTTTACAGACGCCCTTCTACCCCAGTTATTACCCTCCCGACACCAACTGCACCTGGATCTTCACTGTAAGACTGTCATCAGACAATTCAGCGCATTTAAAGGGATAGTTCACCCAAAAATGAAAATCAAAAATGTACTCACCTAGTATTTACTTAGTGATGGATTTGTTTAGTTATATGACTTCCTTCTTTCAGACGAATCCAATCTGAGTTATATTAAAAAATGTCTTGGCTCTTCCGAGCTTTATAATGGCAGTGAATGGGTGTTGAGATTTTGAAGCCCAAAAAAAAGGTGTTTTGTTTTACTCTCTCTACGCTACGCTTCAGAAGGCCTTTATTAACCCCCCAGAGCCGCGAGGAGCAATTTTTATGATGGATGGACGCACTTTTTTGGGCTTCAAAATCTCAACACCCATTCACTGCCATTATAAAGCTTGGAAGAGCCAGGACATTTTTAAATCTAACTCCAATTGTATTCGTCTGAAAGAAGAAAGTCATGCACACCTAGGATGGCTTGAGAGTGAGTAAATCATGGGCTAATTTTCATTTTTGGGTGAACTATCCCTTTAACTGGACTTACACTCTTCAAAGTCGACATGAAATCAGAATTGACACTATTTATTTTCTTAAAGGGTTGAAATGTAGCTTTCCTGTAGCTCAAACAGTAGAGCATGTCAATTGGCGTAAAATGATTTTCATTCAGAAATTCCTCGTACATTTCACAAATCATTACAAAGAAGCAGCAAGTAACATTGCATTAAATGTACAATTTTGAAATAGAAAGACTGAAATATCATTTTCTTGGAAAACATACTCCAATAATCTTTTTTTCATTTAAAACACTGAAAAATAATTTACAGTGCTCTGAATGTGGACTGCAGCTTCAAGCTTTCCAAAGCACACAAAAGCACATTGAATGCATTTGACTCGTGCACTAATATATCCAGGTCTTCTGAGGTCATATGATGCTTTTCCAGTAGTTTTTAATATGCATGAGCTGTAACTGCATGTGAAGCGGGAATCGGCGCAGTGTTTCACAGAAGAACTAAAGTCAGGCTGACTGTGTCTCTGTATCTGTGTGTTCAGGTGCCGTCGGTGGAGTTCGGTCTGACTCTGTCCTTTGAAGGATACGAGCTGAACCGTGCCAGTTACAGTCAGACCTGCACACAGGGCAGATGGAGCATCCAGAGCCGCAGGTCAGTCCTTCAGACCTGTGTGTGTGAGTGTGTTGAGTGTGTGACAGGGGTGTGTGTGTGAGTGTGTGTGTGTGTTAGTGTGTGTGACGTGAGTGTGTGTGACGTGAGTGTGTGTGTTTGTGTGTGTGGGTGTGTGTGACGGGGGTGTGTGTGTGTGTGTGTGTGTGTGTGTCCGTGTGTGACAGTAGTGTGTTTGTGTGCAGGCTGTGTGGCGTCCGAGGCTTGCAGCCGTACTCCGAGCGAATCCACCTGCTGTCGAGCACCGTCTCTGTGTCCCTGACCTCTGAGGTGTCTCTCACCGGCCCGGGCCTGCAGGTTCACTACAGCATCTTTAACCAGTCTGATCGTTAGTACACCTCTGCGTCTCTTTAAACTGTCTGCATTTAACTTTGCTTAGTACATGTTTACAGGGGTCATGAAATGCAGTTTCAGATTTTTATTTTGTTTCTTTGTGAGATTAGTTTATACTATACTTGCACCAAGAAATGCCCAATATTAGTAAAAATGTGAGCCTGCAGCACAAAAGCAGTGTTAAGTCGCTGGGGGATATTTGTAGCAATAGCCAACAATACATTGTATGGGTCACAATGATAGATTTTTCTTTACAAAGTAAAGATCATGTTCCATGAAGATATTTTGTAAACGTCCTACCGTAAATATATCAAAACCAAAAGCAGTGTTAAGTCGCTGGGGGATATTTGTAGCAATAGCCAACAATACATTGTATGGGTCACAATTATAGATTTTTCTTTACAAAGTAAAGATCATGTTCCATGAAGAAATTTTGTAAACGTCCTACCGTAAATATATCAAAACTTAATGTTTGATTAGTAATATGCATTGCTAAGAACTTCATTTGAACAACTTTAAAGATGATTTTCTCAATATTTAGATTTTTTTGCTTCCTCAGATTCCAGATTTTCAAATAGTTGTATCTCAGCCAAATATTGTCCTATCCTAACAAACCATACATCAATGGAGAGCTTATTTATTCAGCTTTATTTATGCAAAATAATGACCCTTATGACTGGTTTTGTGCTCCAGGGTCACAAATGATAATTTTTCATCCTGTCTGTGAAAAACACTCAATTTCAAGGCGTTTCCTCTCACAGAAAGTTACTCGAGCTGGCAAGCGCTGTGACAGAGCTGTATATGTTTAACACAACTCAACCACAATGATTACAACAGTCTGCTTCAGTGTGGAAATGCTTGCTTGATTTCTTCATTTTCAGTAAATAGTTTCAAAAAGGACTATTATTAGTTGTCGTGTTACAACACAGCTTAAGTAGGTTTAAGAAAGCACATTGTTTCTCATTCATTTGCCAACAGTTAAACATTAATTTTGGTTGCAACTTTCATGCTTAGTGTGGCAGCATCGTAAACACATCCAGATATCTATATACAGTGGCATGCGAAAGTTTAGGAATCCCTTGCAGAATCTGTGAAAATGTGAATAATTTTAACAAAATAAGAGAGATCATACAAAATGCATGTTATGTTTTATTTAGTCCTGTCCTGAGTAAGATATTTATGATATACAGTTATATGTGTGTATTTATAAATTCATATAAATATAACCGCAGGTCAGAGAGAGCAATGATGAGCACCACTAATCATTTATACTTTAAACTGAGCAGTTATTTTGGAGTTCTGAAACTTGCAGTATGTTTTTATTTTAGCATCACCTCTCATATGTGTAAAAGTCGAGATAATTTTGTGTGTGTGTCTCTTGTGTGTGTGTCTCTTGTGTATATATGTGTGTGTGTGTGTGTGTGTGTGTGTGTCTCTTGTGTGTGTGTGTGTGTCTCTGTGTGTGTGTGTCTGTCTGTGTGTGTGTGTGTGTGTTTCTGTGTGTGTGTCTCTCTGTGTGTGTGTGTGTGTGTGTGTCTGTGTGTGTGTGTGTGTCTCTGTGTGTGTGTGTCTGTCTGTGTGTGTGTGTGTGTGTTTCTGTGTGTGTGTCTCTCTGTGTGTGTGTGTGTGTGTGTGTCTCTGTATGTGTGAATGTCTCTGTGTGTGTGTGTGTCTCTGTGTGAGTGTGTTTGTGTGTGTGTCTGTGTGAGTGTGTGTGTCTCTGTGTGTGTGTGTGTGTGTGTGTGTGTGTCTCTTGTGGGTGTGTGCGTGTGCGTGTCTGTGTTTGTGTGTGTCTCTGTGTGTGTGTCTGTGTGAGTGTGTTTGTGTGTGTGTCTCTGTGTGTGTGCATGTGTGTCTGTGTGAGTGTGTTTGTGTGTGTGTGTCTCTTGTGTGTGTGCGTGTGTGTGTCTCTGTGTGTGTGCGTGTGTGTGTCTGTGTGAGTGTGTTTGTGTCTCTGTGTGTGTGTGTGTGTGTGTGTCTCTGTGTTTGTGTGTGTCTCTGTTTGTGTGTGTGTCTCTCTGTGTGTGTGTGTGTGTGTGTGTGTGTGTGTCTCTGTGTGTGTGTCTGTGTGAGTGTGTTTGTGTGTGTGTCTCTCTGTGTGTGTGTGTGTGTGTGTGTGTGTGTGTGTGTCTGTGTGAGTGTGTTTGTGTGTGTGTCTCTCTGTGTGTGTGTGTGTGTGTGTGTGTGTGTGTGGTCAGCGTGTCCCGGTCAGGTGCTTTGCCATGTTAACGGTCTCTGTGTGCCGGCGTGTGATGGTATCAGCGACTGCCCCAACGGTCTGGATGAGAGAAACTGCGGTAAATTCCCATCTTCACTGCATGATGATTGAAAACGGTTATATGACTAATAGCAAATGACATTTTCTACTGAATTCTAAAGAAAGGAAGTGAAAAATATGATCAGAAGTGTGTGTGGGCAGAGAGACTGAAACTATGAAACGCAAAAGAAAAGCTGCGAATGGAAAAACCTTCTTACTGAAACAAGAAAGAGCTCCAGCGATCGTAACTAATGGTGTGTATGTGTGTGTGTGTGCAGTGTGTATCGCTCAGTTCCAGTGCTCAGAGGACAGTCAGTGTGTCGACTACTATAAAGTGTGTGATCAGCATCCAGACTGCATCGAGGGTAGCGACGAGGAAAACTGCACACAGGGTACACACATCATCTTCTGTTGTTTCTGTACTGAGCTGAAGATATTTCCTCTCCCCTGACCCTCACAGAAACTCTCGCATATCAGGATATTAATTAATACAAATATTAGTGAATATGAATAATGAAATAATAATGAATGAGAATATTTATAAACCTGTTTTCTTTGACATTTGTTCCCCACAATGTAGGTGAAACCTGTACAAACTCTCGCGCACACACACACACACACACACACTCACTCACTCATATATGCATGAAACAAATAATATCATATTCATATTCTACCTCAAAATCAAAAGAAGGAAATCATATTTTACATAAACAAAATGAAGTCTATTTTAATAAGAGTTTTTGCATGGTGACATTAATTTGAAATGTGTCAAATTCAACACATTAATTCCTAAAATTCTCATGCAGTAACTTTATAACAGCAGAATAACTTTCATGTAATGATTTATGTATTTACATAAGCATGAATTTAATGCTTGATACTTGATATGTACTATATAGAATTTCTACATTGTGTGTTAAATTGCCATAAAAATGGCAATTATCAAGTAACAATAAAAAACAGGTCCTGAAAATAGTTCAAATTCGTATTGTAAAATATAAATGATTATTTCTTTTGTTCCTTTTCGTTCTTGACCTGAATTTCTTTCTTTTATATAACAATTTCTATAATTGCTACATAAAAAGCCCAACTGTAGCTATTTTGTAATAATAATATTTAAAAAAACATTATTTACTTGATTTATTTAAACAGCACTTCTCCCTTGGAAGCGCAGCACAAACACACACAACTCTTCAGTGTGTTTCTACATACTTAACCATATTTTGGGGACAAATTCACACCCAGAATTGAGCTAAACTTGACAAATGCTCCTTTTGGGGAAATCCTCATTTGTAAAAATGATATAAAAGTAAAGTAAATACAGTTTTTTTTTTTATTGTAATGTAGAACTTTTTCTGTTTTATATATATATATATATATATATATATATATATATATATATTCTGTATTCTGTTATGCATATAATATGTTATATTTATAACTAGCTATATATATGAAAACTGAAGTCGTTAAACGTGTGTGTGTGTGTGTGTGTGTGTGTGTGTGTGTTCAGGTGTACCATGTTCTGACTGGACGTATGTATGTGGAGATGGAACGTGTCTAAAGAAGCCAAACCCAGAATGTGACTTTATCACGGACTGTCCTGATGAATCTGATGAGAAATACTGCAGTAAGAGAGTCACATTGTGTGTGTGTGTGTGTGTGCGCGAGTGTGTGTGTGTAAAAAAAACATTATTTACTTGATTTATTTAAACAGCACTTCTCCCTTGGAAGCGCAGCACAAACACACACAACTCTTCTGTGTGTTTCTACATACTTAACCATATTTTGGGGACAAATTCACACCCAGAATTTAGCTAAACTTGACAAATGCTCCTTTTGGGGAAATCCTCATTTGTAAAAATGATATAAAAGTAAAGTAAATACAGTTTTTTTTTTAATTGTAATGTAGAACTTTTTCTGTTTTATATATATATATATATATATATATTCTGTATTCTGTTATGCATATAATATGTTATATTTATAACTAGCTATATATATGAAAACTGAAGTCGTTAAACGTGTGTGTGTGTGTGTGTGTGTGTGTGTGTGTGTTCAGGTGTACCATGTTCTGACTGGACGTATGTATGTGGAGATGGAACGTGTCTAAAGAAGCCAAACCCAGAATGTGACTTTATCACGGACTGTCCTGATGAATCTGATGAGAAATACTGCAGTAAGAGAGTCACATTGTGTGTGTGTGTGTGTGTGCGCGAGTGTGTGTGTGTGAGAGCGTGTGCGTGTGTGTGAGCGTGTGCATGTGTGTGTGAGCGTGTGCATGTGTGTGTGAGCGTGTGCGTGTGAGTGTGCATGTGTGTCTACGTGCGTGTGTGTGTCTGTGTGTGCGAGCATGTGTGTGTGTTTTGATCATGTTCTCTCTGCAGACTGTGGACTGAGGCCGTTCAGCAGTCGTGTGGTGGGCGGGACCGATGCAGTGGAGGGGGAGTGGCCATGGCAGGCCAGCCTGCAGATCAGTGGGCGGCACATATGTGGGGGGGCGTTAGTCTCCGCCCAGTGGGTGGTGTCTGCAGCTCACTGCTTCTATGACGACGGGTGAGCGTCTGCATCTGTCTGTCTTTCTGTGGTCGTTCTGTCCCGCTGAATGCGTCTGTCTGCAGGTTCTTCTCTCCATCCGTGTGGACCGTCTATCTGGGTAAACTGCGTCTCTATGGCAACAGTCAGACGGAGGAAGCCATCCGCGTGTCACACATCCACCTGCATCACTATTATGACGACGAGACGCACGACTATGACGTGGCTCTGCTGCGTCTGCTGAGGCCGGTGTGGTCGGGGACTCTGGCTCATCCGGTCTGTCTGCCGCCGCAGACGCAGCAGCTGGAGCCAGACGTGCTGTGCTGGGTCACGGGATGGGGCGCGCTGCGGGAGGGAGGTATGGCATCCCATAAACACCTGCAGCATCTGTATCTAGTCTCTCTATGAGCCACTGTTCTTGTACACTTTTAATATAGATAGTTCTGACTCCGGATATGAAGGGATGAGCTGTAGTGATGTGTAGACACATCCAGACACACTGTTACTCAAACTTAAAGGGGTAGTAGTTCACTTAAAAATGAAAATCCTGTCATCATTTACTCACCCTCAAGTGGTTCCAGACATGTACGAGTTTCTTTCTTCTGCTGAAGACAAAACAGTTGACAGTAGACTTCCGTTGGTCATCAGTGGCTACCACCAGCTGTTTGGTTTCCAGCATTCTTCAAAATACCTTCTTAAAAATACTCACACTGAATAGATTAGATATTGAGATGTGGGCGTGGCTCTCCGCGTGCAGGGGCGGAGTTTAAGTGTGTTTACTAAATGATTGGAGAAATCCTGCATACGTTACCAGAGAGAAGACTGACGCTTCGCTGAAAGATCCAGTTTGGAGATTTGATGAACAATTACGAGCAAAAAAAAAAACCCACATGCACAGATCTATACCATGCATTTTGAAAATAGATGTAGTGAATTTACATTTCAGTTTTCATGCCGAATTTAAGGGCTCCCACCAAAATAAAAGCCATGGTTTAACGTTTAACAACGGGTCACATCTTTGTCACCTTTTCCACCCTGGTGATGGTGAATTTGCATCCCTGGGTGACGAGACATGAATCCACCAAAAGAGGAACAGAATGACGACGTGTCCTGATTGTGGTGCGTCTGGTTCAGTAAGAGTGACACCATCGGCTTCGAGGAATGATAGTATTACTGTCCGACATGTGAGACGCTGGAGATCAAACACCATTAGAGGTCTCTCTCTGTCTCCTTCATCTAGGAGCGGTCAGTGATGTTCTGCAGAAGGTAGACGTGCGATTGGTCAGTGAAGACGCCTGTGTGCGTTCCTATGGTTACATGATCACGCCCAGAATGATCTGCGCCGGGTATCGCAGCGGAGGGAAGGACGCCTGTCAGGTGACCCGTCTCGATCATATGCTGTAACCGTGATGATGCATGTAAGCCGCTGAATTACACGCGTGTGTGTGTGTGTGTGTCAGGGCGACTCCGGCGGGCCGCTGGTGTGTCAGGAGCCGTCTGGACGCTGGTTTCTGGCCGGTGTGGTGAGCTGGGGCAGAGGCTGCGGACGACCCGACTATTACGGGGTTTACA